GTCTTCTCCAGCTGCCCTTAGGCCTTTTGAAATCTTTTCAAATCTTTTATGTTACCATTTTTTTCCAGTTGCTTTAGCTACCCTTCATTCAAGGGCAAGTTTTAGAATTTTTTCTGACATCCATTTTGGTCTTTCTTTCTTTCCTCTTTAATAACCTTTTGCTTTCTTCATGTATGATGTCCTTGATGGCTTCCCACAATGTGTCTGGTCTTTAGTCATTGGTATTCAACATGTCAAATATATTCTTCAGAGGCTCTCTAAATTCAGGTGTGATATACTCAAGGTCATGTTTTGGCTCTTCTGCACTTGTTTCAATTTTCTTCAGCTTCAACTTACAATTGGCTGTGGTAGTTAAGGTTGTATGCCAAGTTGTCTGGACTGTGGTTTTTGATGGATGGGTAGCTGGATGTTGTTATTCCCCATGATGAGGAATCTGCTGTGAGCAACTGAGTAGCTGCTGTCAGTATGTTGCTTGCTTCCAGTGTATGAGAAGTAGCTTTGAGAAAGATCTCTGGCTTTTGGCTCATCTGGATCCTGCATTTGGTTGAGTCTTTATCTCAGTGGCCTGCCAATCTTGGGATTGTTCCTAGACTTGAACTAGTGGCCTGCTGTGTTGCTTGCTTATCTTAGGACTGTGCCATTTTACCTGTTAATCTTGGGTTTGTCAGCCTCAGCAGCCAGCAGCTGCACGAGTCAGAAAAAGCCTCCAGCGCTAGTTGGCCTGGAACAGGAGGCAGAGCTGAAGGTTGAGGGGCCTAGAGCCAGCACTCTGAACACAGACCTCTAGCCTCCTACGCTGTAAGAGAATAAATGCCTGTTTGTTAAGCCATCCACTTGTGGTATGTTTGTTATAGAAGCACTAGAGAATCAATACACTTGCGTATGAGCAACTGATGGTTTGTTCCACAGTCAGCCCATGGCCTTGTTCTGACTGATGATATGGAGCTTCTCTGTTGTTTTCTTCCAAAGATGTAATCAATTTGATTCCTGTGTATTCTATCTGGTGAGGTCCACGTGTATAGTAGCCATTTATTTTGTTGAAAAATGTACTTGCAATGAATAAGTCATTGGTCTTGCGAAATTCTATCTTGCAATTCTTGGCAGCTTTTTTTTTTTTTTTTTCCTGTGATTTGGGTGAAAATTTACAGAGCAAATTCACTTCCCATACAGCAGTTCACATACATTTTGTCTCACGACATTGACCACAATTCACCACAATGCAGCAGCTCCCCTCCCACTTCCTCCCAACAGTCACCTCTTCCATGTGTCCATCCCTCCATACACCCCTGCCCCCTCACCCTGTGCATAAATAGCCCTTCTCTAATGGTTGTTCTCTCCAAGGAGTGTATCTACCTCAGGTAAATGTTCAACTCCTATGCCTGTCTTTTGCTTGGCTGGAAGCCACAGGTGTGGGTTCAATTCTAGACTTGAAGGGCAGCTAGGGGCCATAGTCTCAGTGGTTCCACCAGGATCTATCAGACAAACAAACCTGGTCCCCCCCTTTATTTTTCCCAAATGCTTCTGAGTTTTGTTCCACATTGTTTTTCCCTCTCTATTCAGGGTCTCCTACATAGATCCCCCTCCAAGTGGTTGACATTGTAGCTGGGCACCATCTAGTCCTTCTGGTCTCGTAGTCATATAGGCTGAGGATCGCATGGTGTAACAGTCTCTAGGACCAATTGTTTCCATGAATTTTTGGTTTTCTTCATTCTTCTTTGCACTGGATGAGGAGAGACCCATAGCTGCATCTAGATGGCTGCTTGCAGGCTTTTAAGATCCTAGTTGCTACTTGCCAAAGTGGGAGGTGGAACAATGTTCTGTGTAGTATGTTACGCCAATTGAGCTTGATGTCCCCTGTGACTATGGTCCCAAGCCCACAGGTTCAACTACTCGGTCCCTCTAGGTAGCTGGATGTGACCAAGAAGTGACTACAACCTTGTCCCTTGTCAGCTCTAGTATACACCTGGGATTTCAGATCATACAAATACACTTATAGGACCCTTGTCTGCCAACCCTATACATGGCCTTGGGTATATTCTCCACTTCATAGATCTTGGCAGCATTTCTGTCAAACCAAAAATAAACCAAACTCACTGCTATCAAGTTGGATCCGACTTATAGTGACACCTCCTTGGGTTTCCGAGGTGGTATCACTACGGAAGTAGATTGCCCAACCTTCCTTCCAAGGAGTGCCTGATGGGTTTGAACCGCCAGCCTTCTGGTTAGTAGTCAAATGCCTTAGGCACTACACCACCAGGGCTCCCAGGCCTTATTTTCCTACTACTGATGCTTCTTTTTTTCCATCTTTTGCACTTCAATCACCAGTAATTAGCAATGTATCTTGATTGCCTGTTTGACTGTTTAATCAATTCAGACTTCAGAAGTTGGTAAAAATCTTCAGTTTCTTCATCTTTGACATTATTGTTTGGTGTGTAAATTAGTATAATAGTTGTATTAACTGGTCTTCCTTGTAGGCATATGGATATTATCCTATCACTGACAGCCTTGTACTTCAGGATAGATCTTGAAATGTCATTTTTGACAGTTAATGTGATGCCATTCCTCTTTAATTTGTTATTCTCGGCATAGTAGAACATATGATTGTTTGATTCGTAATAGCCAATACCAGTCCATTCCAGCTCACTAATGCCTAAGATAACAGTCTCTATGTGTTCCATTTCATTTTTGATGACTTCTAATTTTCCTAGATTCATACTTCATACATGTTCCAATTATTAATTGATGTTTGCAGCTGTTTCTCCTCCTTTTCAGTCATGCTACATCAGCAAATGAAACTGAAAGCTTTACTCCATCCAGGCCATTAAGATCAACTCCACTTTGAGGAGGCAGCTCTTCCTCAGTTGTATTTTTAGTGCTTCCAACCTAGGGGGCTCATCTTCTGCCTATATCAGACAATGTTTCATTGCTATTCATAAGGTTTTCTGTGGTCAGTTATTTTAGAAGTACACTGCCATGTCCTTCTTCCTAGTTTGTTTTAGTCTGGAAACTCCACTTAAACCTGTCCACCATGGATGACTCTGCTGGTATTTGAAATTCTGGGGCGTAGTTTCCAGTACCATAGCAACATGCAAGCCACCACAGTAGGACAAAGTGACGATGAGTGGTGGACTCTATGAATTAGGTGATATTTATTCTTGGCCTCATTTTATACCTTTGGGAGAAAGATATTGGATAACTTCCTAAGATCACACAGTTAATGTAATACCACCACCAGCTGCTATCCAGTTGATGTGTCTCATGAAGATTCTATGTGTATCAGCGTTTTCTACTTCACAGAGCAGATCACTGGCCTTTCTTCTGAGACGCCTCTGGGTATATTGGCAACTCCAGCCTTTTGGTTAGCAGCCAATCGCCGTGAAGTTTTTGCACCATGCAGGGACACTATTTAGTAGGAAACCCATTTGTAAGCAGTCTGATTCTAGGGTTCCAGCACTTAAACACTGTTATTGTTTTCTTAATCTGTTAAAAATTCAATCATATATTAGTTTAAAAGAATAACACTATATTTGATTGCTCCTTGACTTAATAAACAATTTGCAAACTGGAGAAACATTCCCTCATACAAAAGGAAGCTGCTTCTAGAGAACAGAGAGCTCCTATATAATTTCTGTTTAAAGATTCCAGATTTCCATGTTAATGAACTAATTAATGACTACTGAGTTAACATTAAGAAGGTAACTTCATGGAGGGAAGATCTGTCCCTCCACCTACCTGCAGTCCAGAAATCTCCAGAAATTAAAATGAAAGAAGCTAGAGTCTTTCCTGTGTAATCACAGGTTAATGCTTTTGGTATGGTCCGTTCTTTGGAACAACCATTTTGGGTGAGAGAAGAAAAAAAAACGCTGGAGGATCACTTGTGGGCCAGGAATTTTTATGCCCATGAATAAGAAAAAGCCTCTTGAAATAAAAGTAAAGTATCAATTTTTTGTTTTTAAAATTTTTAAAAATAGATTTTATTTTGTAGTGCAGTTTTACAAAAGAAAATTGTTCAGGAAGTACAGAGTTCCCACATAACTTCTCTTCCCCCTGTACAGTTAATCCTATTATTAACATCTTATATTCCTCTGGTACATTTGTTATGTGGAATCAAATCTGTGTTAGAAATAGATATTTTACTTTTATTTCAAGAGGCCTTTTCTTATCTGTGAATTTTGAAATTTCTGATCCAAATTAATCTACCAATGGGTTTTTTCCTGTCTCACCCAAAATTGCTAATCTACTTTTCTTTCCTGTTCCAGGAGCAGACAATAACAAAACCATGACTTGGATTTAACAAATAAAAAAGACGTTTTTTAAAAAAATTTCTAGCGGTGTCAGAGACTGCAGGTGGGTAGACAGCCAAATCTTCTGCAGAGTTACCTTTATTAATGTCAACTCAGTAGCCATTGACTACTTCCTCACCATGGAAAACTGTAGTTCTCAAGAAAAAGGTATTTAAGTCTGTGAATTCTCAGTTCTCTGGAAGCAGACACCTCCTGTGTGTGGGGAACGGCCCCTAAAATATTTATTTTTAAAATAACTATGATTCTACAACCCTAAGATTCCAGGAATCCTTGATTTTATTTTTAATTTCATGGTTTTTGTTTTGTTTTTACAACTATTACAACACGGTATCGTTTAAATATATGTACGGATAATTAAAGTAATTAAAAAAAAAAAAGTATAATTTGAAAAGAAGAAAAAAAGCCTAACACTTTTGCCTTTTTTGCTATGGGGGAGTTAGAGGAAGGCTAGGAATACAAACGCCGTCCAGAGATACTTAAAAATAAATATTTAGCCTAACACCCGCGGAACATTTGAACCTACACCGCCACGGAAAAATGTCCTGCGTACAGCAAGTCTCCGGTGCCTGCAGCAGGCGCGCACACTCAGTGCGCGGCGTCAGCTCTAGCCGCCCGAGGCCCTGCCCACTCGGGCCGCAGGGGCTGCCGGGACAGCCTCTAAGTCCCCCATCTTTAAGCGCGCAAGACCGGCCGGCGGCGCTTAGAAGTCGGGACGTAGCTGTCCCCGCTTCTGATCCTGTGGAGCCTTTCTGCGGGACCGGAACCATAAAGGTGAGCAACTATCAATGGCTAATGAGAATGAGGTGCAAAAAGGTCGATTTGGTGCGAGAGGGCGCGTCCGTTTTCCTTGCTGCCTCACGCAGGGCGCGCTTGCTCCTCGCCTTACTTTCTGGTGAGTGGGCCCAGATGGGCGCCGCGTGGGCCACAGCCCTTGGGGCTTGCTGGGTTGAGAACGCTAAGGTCGCCGCAGCGTCGGTTGCGGAGCAGGCAACTGCGAGAGATGCAGGAGGCCAGGGTTCCTCGCACGTGGCTAGGGCCCTGCTGAGCCAATTGTTGCTTCGGGATGGGGCTGTGGAGGGGTCTTTGGGTAGAAACTACCCGCATTGTCAAAGCATCTTTGCGGTTTCGGATCTTCTCCCCCTTTCAACCACCGAAGACGGACATTTGGACCACCCGTGTAAGTTTCTGGGGAGATTGACGCGAGGTCCGGGTCGGAGGGCCTGCGAGACTGACTGGAGGCTTGTGAGCTGGGGCCGCAGTTCCTTCCCAGACATTACCCATTTGGGTTTTTAGGTTTTTCCATCCTCCGTTCATACTAAGGCTTCTGCTGTGTGAAACGGGCAAATGTGGCAAATATTTCACTTTCAGTTGTATATTCCGAAAAAGTACTTGATGAAATAAGTTCCAAAATAAAATTGAATAGGCCAAAGAAATCTCGTTGAAACTAGTAATTCTTTTATCTCAGCGTGTGTCTCACAAGGAGCCTTAGATCACAGTAATAACAGTGTAGATTGTAGAAAAGCAAATGTATAAAGTTGAGCAAATTCTGTAGTTTGACGTGCACCATGCACATCCCCATTGCAAAAGTTTCCAGTGGTGACAATTGGACGCTTAGCAAATACATTACAGTGTATCAAGCTATACCTCCAGTAATTGTACCAATGATAATTAATCACTGGACTCAATTAATGGCAAAAAACCTTGATGAGTTGTTAATATAGTTTTAGACAGTGTGGCTGACACAGTGGTTTAGTAGAACAATGAATGGGTCAATGAATTTGAATCCAGAAGACTTAATTTTTGATCCCTGACACACTAACTTGACAGCCTAAATCTTTTTCTGAAATTGTACTACCAGGGATGTGAAACAGGAAACTGGCTATAAGATTAACAAATGTCTTTGTGAATTAGGAGCACAGCACCTAAGGCACCAGCCACTCCATGGAAGCAAGACTGGGCAATCTGCTTCCCTGAAGATTTACAGCCTCAGAAACCCAATGGGGATTGTTATGAGTCAGAATTGACTCAATGGTAGTGGGTTCAGTGGGTTTGGTTTTTGGTTTTAGTGAATTAGTGGGCGTATCCCCAGTTTAATACTGTTTGACTGTTCCCATGCTCTCTCTTTCATATGTTCCTTAAGGTTATACAGCATCTAATCTAAACCCAGGACTGTATTATTTGAATGGCTTCCCCTTCCCCAACACACACCTTTGTAAATTCTAAAATACCTAATTTTGGTAAGTCAGCTTATGTCTAATGTTAAATTAGAATGTGACTCACACCTAACAAATAGAACTGAGGTCCACAGCAGTATACAGACAGTGATCTGTTTATAGCTATAAATGGATGGTAAGTGGTTGAGTGGAGTCCCCCCCCCCAAAAAAAAAAAAAAAAAAAAAATCTAGCTTGAACAGCTAAATGGAGATTTAAAAAAATTGCTTTGTTAAAGAAGGTAGGGCAGTAATTTACCGAAAGGGGAACAAATCATTGATTAACTTTTCAGTTTTCATCACTTATTCCAAAGTTGCTTTGTTGAGATACTTGAGAATTGACTAGAGAAATTGAACCTGTGAAACTAGAAATTCTTAGTTTTTAAGGAAAACAATGGGATATTGATGGCTTTTAAAACATTCTTTTTCTGGTCTTGAGTTTTATATAAAATAATCGTCATAATAACCTCTTTGTGCCAATTTAGGAAAATTTTCAGATAGACACAATGGGTGAAAATGGTGATAGTGAAAAATCTGCGCTAGAGGCCAAAATCTGTCATCAAATTGAGGTATGATTCTTGTGCTCTTAAACTGTAAAAACAAGCTTTTTAAAATTGAGAGTCTCAGATATAGAGAGAATGTTAAATTTCAGTATACTGACTTATTCAACATCTGGCTTATTTTTGCTTCTTGGAATTTGATTAACATATATAATGACACATAATTATATGTTGGTATACTGAGAAAGAGTGCCTCTGTGCTTAATTAGATAAACATTTACCTGTGTTTTTAACCTTTAAAAATTAGTGATTAATTCCAGTTCTTTTTATTTAACGATCTGATCTTTTCACATTGATATAAAACTAAAACAATAAACAATCAACATTTTAGTTTTATCTTGTAGCTTGTATTATAAATATTTCATTAGAGTTGTATATAGGAGAAAATACTCATTGCCTCTCGTAAGTTATGACGTGTTCTTAAAGGATAGAATTTCGTAATAATTAGAAAATTCTAGGGTTGGAGTCAGTATTATACAGTGCTCTGAAATATATTGTAATTATTTTGCAGTATTATTTTGGTGATTTTAATTTGCCACGGGACAAATTTCTAAAAGAACAGATCAAACTAGATGAAGGCTGGGTACCTCTGGAGATAATGGTAAAATTCAACAGGTAAAAAACGTTTTTAAAATAATTTTTAGGTTTTCTGTTAACAGTATTAGTAAGTCTTGCAATGATTTTATATTTATTTTTTAGGTTAAACCGTCTAACAACAGATTTTAATGTAATAGTAGAAGCATTGAGCAAATCAAAAGTAGAACTCATGGAAATAAGTGAAGATAAAACTAAAATCAGAAGATCTCCAAGCAGACCCCTCCCTGAAGTGACTGATGAGTATAAAAATGATGTAAAAAACAGATCTGTTTATATTGTAAGTAGGCCTTTATTGCGTATAATTACACAGTCCCTTTATTTAGAAAGGAAGTACATTAGAGTGGATAAGAATAAGGGCTCAGGAATAGTTTCACTACTTACTATATGTTGTTGGACAGTGTTTTTTAACCTCTCTAATGCTTATCTTCATAAATGGAGAGAATAGATTTTTACTGTATAGAACTGGTGTGAGAATTAAATGAAAAAGTCCATAGAACATTGGACAAAATCTTTGTCATATAATCACCCGATACATATCAGTTTAAATTTTCTTATTTATCAACAGCTAAACTTGATATTGGAGTCCCTGGGTTAAGAGCTTTGGTTGCTAACTGAAAGGTTAGAGGTTCAAGTCCATCCAAGATGCCTTGGAAGAAAGGCCTGGTGATCTATGGCTGAAAATTCAGCCACTGAAAACCCTGTGGAGCACAGTTCTACTCTGACACACTGGGGTCACCAGGAATCAGAGATGACTAAATGGCAGCTGGTAAACTTAATAGCAATATTCTTTAACAGATTAATTTTTAAAGGATTTTTTATTGTGGAAAATTTCACACAAATAAAAGTAGAATGGATAGTATAATGTACTCAAACAATTTCAACACATGAATGGTCTTGTTTGACCTCTGTCTCCAGTTGGATTATTTTGAAGCACATCTGATAAATGAGTCACAGTAACTGTCATTGTAGTAGAGAACAATCTCTTAAATGCTTAAGAGATAAAAAGAAACAGGTATATCTGTCTGTCCTGGCTTCATATCAAGGTGAAATGAATCAAATTGTTTACCTCAGAAATCATTATTTATACATTATTTCCACTTTTTACAGAAAGGCTTCCCAACTGATGCAACCCTTGATGACATAAAAGAATGGTTAGAAGACAAAGGTCAAGTACTACATATTCAGATGAGAAAAACATTGCACAGAGCATTTAAGGTATGATTGTATTATGTTGCTGATCTTTTTTTAGTTGTGAAATATGTGGGACATAACTTTAAAAAAACTTTTCCTCCCTCCTTCTTATAGGGATCAATATTTGTTGTGTTTGATAGCATTGAAATTGCTAAGGAGTTTGTAGAGACTCCTGGCCAGAAGTACAAAGACACAGACCTGCTAATACTTTTCAAGTAAGTTTCTGCTGTTTCCTCTGGCAACTTAGTTAAAGGAAATTGACTTACTAGTGTAAGAAGAATAGAATAGCATCCCCTATGAGGGCAGTAAAAGAACTTAAGCGTGCAATGATTAAGCGCTTGGCTTTTAACCACAAAATAGTCTACTTGAATGTACCCAGAGTTCCCTTGCAAGAGAGGCCTGGTAATCTGCTTCTGAAAGGTCACAGCCTTGAAAACCTTATGGACTGCAATTCCACTTTTGCATACAGGTGGAGTCTCCAGAGTGGGACACAACCACTGTTCGTTTTTTGTGTTCTTTTTTTTAAGTCTTCTTTTGAGAAATGCTTAAAATCTTTTCAGTGGGAGCCTTTGAAAATATAAAACCCACTAAACACCGACTGTCAAGTTGAGTCCAACTCATAGGGACCCCCATTAGGTTTCCCAGGTGTAAATCTTTATGGCAGATTGCCCTATCTTCCTTCTGTGAAGTGGCTGGTGGGTTTGAACCACCAACCTTCTGGTTAGCAGTCAAATGCCTTAGTGTACCACCAGAGCTCCTTGAAAATATAAGGAAGTGTTAATTAGTACTTTTTCATTGTTAGCAGTTAACAAATGAGGTTAAGACATTTTAGTGCTTATTTTACATCTAAAACTAATAATCAGGTGGGATCGTGAAGTTTGGGTTTTTGGTATGATTAGAGAATAAATCACTGTACAGCTTTCTTCTGTTCTTTTTATTATTATTATTATTTTTTTTTATTGTGATTTGGGTGAAATTTAAAGAGCAAATTCTCTTTCCATACAGCAGTTCACGTACACTTTGTCTCATGACATTGACCACAGTTTACCATAATGCAACAGTTTACCATAATACATTACCACAGTTTACCCATTTCCTCCCGACAGTCACCTCATCCCTGTGTCCATCCCTCCATGCACCCCTGCCCCCGAGCTGTCTCCTTGTGCATAAACAGCCCTTCTTTATCCCATGATTGTTCTCTCTAAGGA